TTGCAGCCTTACTTATGCTCCTTGAATCCCTCTCCCTGGATTTTAATTACTATCCATGTCGCGTGCTATCTAGGGCATGTCAGATTCATCAACTACTGATTACATGTATTTTATAAAAAGGTCTTCATGAATTAAATTGATCTTCCATTGAAATTTAATTTTTACAGCCTTTCATTCTTGTTTGTGATGGTTACCGATTCGCTTTTTACTTCTCATAGTATGAGAATTTCAGTCTTAAAACTAAAATGGACACATGCTGCTTTTTTTTTAAACTCTACATGAATAAAATGTACTAAGAAATGTAAATTAAAAAAAAAAAAATCATTCCTCCACCTTGAGACTGAGCTGATTTGTTAGACTCAGCTTGTTCCATTTGAGTAGGTTGTTTCCTAGTATGGTTTCTGCCTGTAGACAGATATTTCCTTTGCATACTCTAAAGTTTACACAAGAGGCTTGCGTAGGACTTTGGTTTGCATAATTTTCAGGAAAAAAAGTGTGCTATTTAGGGAAATGGTACTACAAGCTATCTAGCAGCAGACGTACTGGAAACATTTAAGTCTGTTAATATGAGTAGCCTATAAAATGTATACTTTCCAAAGTGCATTATGAAAAATTGTCAACCAAATTTTACAAATGGAAAAATAAATACATAGAGAAGTTAAATGATTTGCCTGAAATATTATTGCAAACCATGCACAAAGGAGTGTCTACCTATAAGAGCTGTTTAAGCATTAGTTTATTCTGTGTCCTCAGTGAGCTGCTGCTTTTTCAAAAGTTGTGTTTTGTTTTTTTTTTTTTTTTTTTACCTTGAAATGTGCTTGAAGCCTTCTTATCCTTCATATGGGAGTAAAAGCTTGATACTCAGTGAGAGCTGCTCATATACGCTGTGAGGGAAGAATAGCCTGGAAGAGCAGAGTGAGGCAGTCACTTAAGACTGCCATGCTTTCATTAGCAATTTTCAAGTGGATGTACTGCATGTTGTAGCACACTTTTATGCATGTGAAATAGCTGTAAGGAGAATTTGTGTAGCCACTTCATATCTCTTGCAGGAAACTCTATTACATGCCAGTCCTTTATCACAGAAGAACATCTTGTTGACTGGGAAGCGAATCTGAAGGTTTAGCTGCATCCTTGTACTGAGTTTCCATTGTACTGAGCTTGCACTTTATTTCCACTTGCAGGGAGAACATGTGTCCGATGCACATGTTGAGAGAAGCTTTCAGGTCGCATCACTTTCCTGGCACCCTTCCAGACCAATTCTCGCAGCAGGCTGGGAGACGGGAGAAGTTGTGGTACTTAACAAACAAGAAAAGGAGCACCACGCTGTACCTCCAAATCATAATGCCAAAATTACAGTCCTAAACTGGAGTACAAATGGTACCTGCCTTGTGTCTGGTGATAGGGTGAGTAGCTGAAATGCCAAATGTGTGTTTGATGTGGAACACAGTGTTGCAAGCCCTGTGATGGGAAGGAATAATGGAATGGATTGTTAGGGGAAGGGGTAGTTGCGGGGGAGATAATTTGTACCTAAAGCAAGGAAATTTAAAACTGTTAGGGAGTAAAATCAAATTGCAGTGTCTTAACTTCTACAGTACTCATTGCTGTTTTATCAATTTATCTTTAAATAAAAGTGTATCTAATCTCAGTATGTACTGAGCAGTAGATCAGGGTTTAAGACTATTTAATGGATGGGGTAATTGAGGCATAGACAATTTGAATTATTTGCTCCTGTCTATGCACGAATTTTGTGGCAGACTCAGCAATAAAGCCCAGAAGTTGAGAAACAAATTCCAGCTACAACATATTCATCCATAGTGAGTGCATAGCAATGCTCACTTAAGTACAAAACCCCCATGCTAATCTCTCTTGTTCTGTTTTTATTAATACTCTAAAAATGAGTCAAACTTATTGTATGGAAAATATGTTGTGGAAATACTTGAAATGTGATAGTCTTTATTTCTTGCTGAGCTGGTTGCCCTTTTATAGTGAAATGAGAAACTAGCTATTGAATATTTAGTATTCAGGATTAAGTATTCATAGAAGATTCTGGTTTGCCAGTTCTTGAGTCAGCAAATGAAGAAGAAAAAGAAAAAAAAAAAAGGTGGGTTTTTCTATATTTTCCCTGATATAAACTTGAGCTTGTCCAAGAATTTCAGTTCTGCTCTTTGAGAATTCTTACCTGTATGAGTCAGAGGAAAATACAATTTTAAATCATTGTTTGTAAAATTCTGTTGCTGCATTTGACAGAAATGCAGAAATTCAAAATTGAGTCAAAAATGAATTTATCCTCTTCTTTGTTAGAAGAGAGAAAATGCTGTCCAGACAAAAGAAGGTGATGCACAGTGTAACTGAGGCCTTATTTATATGGAGATAATATATTAATGTAGCCACAGCTTACATTAACCCTACATTTATGAACAAACTTTTTTCAAATTGATTTATTTGGTGTCAGATCACAGTAATGAAGTCATCTTAAAACAGATATAGCCATTCTTATAAGCAAATTTAACAATTTTATAGACTCATCCTAACTGCTCCTCTGATGAGAGTATTCATCAAAGTAGAATAGGCAGTGGTTTCAAGGAAATACCTTAACATGACGAAACAAAGCCTATGCATGTGTTGACATGAATGCTCTTCAGATTCGCGTAGTTTCAATTGCAGTAGTTGGAAAGACCAACCTCAATAGATGGAACAGCAGCACATTTGAACTCGGAAAAGTTCATTATTGCAAAATAGCTGTGTTACCCTTTGCAGATATTGAAACACACAGCTGAGCACAGTTCAAGGTACTCCCTGGTCAATGAAATGTGGGTCTTTAAAAACCTGCAGCTGTGTGTGTAGTGGCCAGCTTGAGCTAATCAGCCTTGCTAAGAGCCCAGGCTTGTTAGGCTGAGCACGCAGCTGGTTCAGCATCCTGTGGCTAGCTCCAGGATGGTGTCTCTGCCCGGTGGGTGGGCCCACTCATCCCTTGCGTTGCACGCTCAGTGTCATTGTACCATGGTCTGATGCGCAGCACAGGTATGTTTCATTTCCTATGTCTTTTCCAATAGGTTTTAAGTTTATTTTTAAAATGTTTCCCATGAAGGTTTCTATTCAGGTAACTTCCATTAGGTGAGTGTGGCCAGGATCATACTCTGCTCATATTAGAGGAATACCCTTAGAAAGAACATAACTATTTGGGCCCTGATTTGGTTTTTGTTTGATCTTCACTGGGACTTTATAACTGAGAGTGCTCAGCTGAGAACATTCAGTCATCATAAATCCTGAATTGCAAGAAAGTTATTTGAAAATAACTTCTTAAAGTTGGAATAGGGTGCTGTGAAAATCAGAAGCTCTTAATTTGTGTTTTAAGTAACAAATAACATAGATGACTTCCAGCTTTTGTTCATGCAAAAGAATCCTAAGGATCTAGGTGCTTTCTATAATGAAAGCCTATTTGTAAGGCAAATAGCCTTTATATCAAGAAGCTAAAGCTTTGGATTGTTAAGAATGATCGGGAAGATATGGGATACCTTAAGAGTAAATCTTATAGATGATAAGGTCATGTCCTTTGTCCTTTTCAAATACCATGTGAAAAGAGACCAGTTCTGTATCCTTTCTATAACCAGTCACACTTAGAAGAGGTAGTGAGCTTTTTTATTTCCAGTCTCATGTGTTCCAAACTCAGAATTGAGTTTGCAACTAGGTTATCATCAAGAATGGGATGGAAAGGAGGTCAGCAGCTTTATAAAGCTGCAGGCTTTTCCTCCAGCTTATAAATGGTGCAGGTGTTCTTAGCTGGGATCCCTGGAATTTGGTGACATTTAAAGCTGAGGGAAAAGTGAGAGGAGGAGTCAACAGGACATGGACTTTCAGATCATGGGATCCTGTGATTTCCAGAGGTAACCAGCAAACATTGTACGAACTGCAAGTGGCCTCCTGGAGCAGGAGTAGAGCAGTTTCACAGATGCACAGCTGTGCCACATTCTTTAGGCTGTAAGAGACAGCATTGCACTTAATACACAGTTTTGGGTGGTATAAATATTATCATCTTACTGCTGAAAAGAAGTTAGAACTTTGATTCTTGATACTTAGGAAAAAAAGCAGGAAATGTTACCTTGGAAGGCCTCAGCTGCATCTCGTGTGGCTTCTAGTTAGGATTGTGAAGAGTAAGTGTTTAGAATGTACCACTGCTACTAGTCTTTCACTTCTAGAAAGACTATACTCCATTGAAAACAATAAAGAAAAATAGAGGAAGTTATAATACCATTGTATTGTTATCTATCTTAATGAAATAAAATGAGATTGAACTTGATGTTGCAAATTGTTGCTGTTTTTTTCATGTACTGCTTACACAGAGGGCCTCCAAATGCAGTTTGGTTCCCTAAGCACTGACATAATAACAACAATAAATAATAATCTCGAAATTCCAGCTGTGAGGCTGTAGCGTAAGTCAGTTTGTTGGGATGGTTAACATGTACGTCATGCTGAACTGTCTGTTTGCTTCTCTGCCTTCTCCGTTCTTTCCAGTCACCAGGGGTTTGGTGCTCATTCTGATCTGACACTGCAAAATGTGTGTTACCTTCAAAACCTGTGCCAGGCTCTGAGCACCAACTTATATTGACTACTGTTGAATTAATTAGCTAACCAGTCTTCCTTTCTTTAGCGTCTATGATTCTTTTAGTTATTAAGTTCTGTTTCTAAAAATGAATTCTTGTTGTACTTGAATGTCTACTTTGAAAGAGGAGGAAAGCTCTAGAAACTCTGAAATTCTTTCCTTAGATTTTCTGCATCCTGTGACTTCACATGTGTCTAATCATATACCCATGCTTATCTATGTCGGTGTTATATGCACTTACTCAGGGATGCATATCTTATGCTTTACTATCCCTTATCTCAATATCTTTTCTTTTAGCAATCAGACTACTTGCAAGAAAAAAGTGGAAGGGGAGTTATCTAAACAAATATTTGCATATGCTCCTTACAGAGGAAAACCAAGGCTGTTCTATTTAATTGCTCTGGCAGTGTCATTTTACTAAGAATGCATATGACCAACAAGCTTTTTTAGATAACTTGATTTTAATTAGCAAATAATATAATGTTAAAGATAATTTTTATTCCTTGTGGCTTAGTTTTAAGTGGGAGTAATTGTACGTGTCAACTAAATGAAAGGAAAGGTGTTGCTCCGTCAATAAAATGTTCGTGTGCACTGAGTAGCTAGAGTCTGGATTCTCATCTGTGTGCAAAGTGTAATGAATTAACTGTTGTCTTTTCTAGCATGGTGTCTTGGTTCTATGGAGAATGGACCAGCGAGGCAGAGTGCAGGGTCCTGCCCTGCTGAAACAAGAGTGTGGAAAATGTCTGTCTCACTGTGTCTTTCGACCACCCCCTCCTGGCGAGTAAGTATTGTGCCCTGTCAGAGCGTTGATAGACCAGGTCTTTCTCTTGTTCCACAGAAAGAAAATCCTACTCACAGACAACCCTTTTTTTAAATATATATAAAAAAAAAAATTCTTCTCCTAACTGCCCTTTATTTCCAAGTTCTTCTCCTGCTCTAGTAGCTGGCTATTTGTGTCCTGTACGCAGCAATAGATCTTTTTGTCCATACCTTTCTCTCTGTTGCTGTTGACTCTTCTTCGTTTAGTTCTTCTAATTAGCAATGTTGCTGATTGTGAAAAGCAGAAAGCACACTGAAAACACAATTATCCATGAAATTTTTTGCAAGAATAATTAAATTAAAAGTCAGTTCTTAAACATTATTTTTCTTTCCTCTCCAAGCAGGAAATAGGAAACAGCTGTAGTAAAAAAAAAAAAAAAAATTTTCCTTGTCTGGGACATTTCTGTTTCACATCTCTGTAAAAATAATAATGCTTATGGAAAAAAAGGTGAAACAATGCAAATGAAAACTAGTATTAAAATTTTACTTTGTATCTTTTTGAGTTTTTCCTTTTTCCAATCAGTGTATGAAACATCTATATTCTCTCTTTACAATATGTTTTATTAACTACTTATCCATTCTTTGAGATGGAAAGTACTCTGTTATGTAAGGAATTGGAAATTAAGTATCTCTGTTTGCAGGGACTTTGTACAGCTGGCAAAAGCAGCTGTGGGTGGTGATGAGAAGGCCTTGGATATGTTTAACTGGAGAAAAGCTGGAACGGGAGCACCTCTGAAAATGGGACTCCAGGAAGGACTGTCCTTCTTTATCACTTTGACAGATGGTAAGAGCAAAACCACTTTTCCAGTCTGCTGGAAATTTGTCTCCTTCAAAATAGCTCAGTGCACGATTGTCCTGTTTGCATATATCCAACATCTAGAGTATATCCATATATCCATCATATTCATATATCCAACAGGATAGAGTATTCACGGGAGTTGAAGAATGTTTGGTAAGAAGAAATGAATAAAACTATTAAAACCTTAGCATCTTCAGGGTGAGTCGTCTCCAGAAGGACACCATAGGTATTGGATTAGTCAGGTTCCCGAAGAAGTGGGTGTAAGGAAAGTGATCTCTAACACCTAAGTGTAAATAAAATTAGAAGTTGTCGGCATTTTGTGCAAAGCTTCAAAATAATGCGTGTTGTGGGGTTTTTTTTCTAGAAATAGGCAAATGCTGCTAGAACATACCTTTTAAAATAAATTATTAATTTACTTTTTCTCTCATGCTTTGAAATGAGGCTTCAGTCTAAGAAGCAAAAAAGTCTGAATATCTGTTTTGTTAGTTTTCTTCCTAATATTGTTTCTTGCCTGCAATTTGTCTTTTCCTCTCCCTTTTACTATTCTGGGTACTAGTTTGTTCCCAGGTCATTTTCTTCCTACCCCAGTTGTTCTCATGATGCCTTCTATCTCTCTAAGCTGTTAACTCTTTGGACAGGAGCCAGAATGTGTGTGACAAGTATTGTAATGAGTATGTTTCTGGTAGGTGATTTGAGTATGTAATCCTCTCGATTCAAGTGTTAACTACTCCAAAAAACATTTAAGTTATGCTAGTTCTGCAGCTCAATTACAGTTTGATTCAGTGTTTACATTATCAAGAACCAGACCCATCATTTACACCAGTATAGCTTCTGTATGATTGCAGGAGTGGCATTGTCCAGCTGTATGTTTGTTTTGCAGAACAGTGGGCTGTACTTTCATTTGATTTGTGAGTTACAAGCCTCTTTACTAGACGTGAACCATTTAAATGAAAAAGGGGTGCAGGGCACTTCTTAAACGTGCAAAGAGAATCTTTGAGTAGCTGTGCCTGTTACATCCTCATGTTCAAAGCAACTGTTGTGGTGGTATGCAGCTCCATCTAGGGACAGACTCTGTATCCTGCAAGTGGCTGTCCATGTCTCGTTTCTTGGGCCTCCTGTTCAAACTTCTCAAATCTCAGTCAAATGACAATGACTGTTTCTTTTGAGCAGTCTCATTGCCTAGGTTGATTTGGGCATATGTATTTAGGACCCAGTTCTTAATCTAGTTAGTGATCTGTCATAACTTCAGAATCAGTTAATGTTTGCGTAGGGTTTAAATGTGACCTGTAAACTTCCTCTAAAGTATGGATTATCAGCCCAAACTTGTTTAATAAAAATGAATTGGAAAAAAACCCATTCTTATTGCGTGCTTTTAAATATCTCAAAAGAGATTTGACTAAAGACAATAGAGCATCTTTTAAAGCAAAACTAAATAAACAATTAAGCTCCCCAAAAAAGCCCAAAACAAAACGAAAAAAACTCCTAAGTTTCAAGTATTTATTAGTCTAGCTATTTTTTGATGCTTCCAAAACACTGATCATTGCAGTAAAACAATAGATGCAATCCAGGTAATATGTTACACGAGATGCTTATCTGAAGAGAGGATACCTGAACTGATAACAATTTTCAGAGGTTGTTTTGCAACACTTCCCATGAGCACAAAGAATCATCTTAATTACTGAGCATTTGAGATGACTGGCACAGGTATTGGGACATAACCTGAATAGTGGAAGTAATCCTGATATTTTTACTGAACGCACCCTTGTTCATCTTCACTGCAGACTTTTTAGGTCACGAGTAATAATCCTCTTCTGGTCCCCTTTGTATTTGCTAAACTGCATACACTTTCTGCTGCTTTTTGTCTTCTGAATCTCAGAGTTATTTGCTCTACTTAATTAGCTCAGATTTGTTAACTTTTGAGATTAGTCTCTTGTGTGATACAGCATGAAAACTTTCTTAAAGTTACTCAGAAAGCTCTAACCCTCTCCCTAACGACCTAAGTAGCTTCAAAATAGTGGGTAGTGTTATCTGTGTGATACCTGATACTTTGTACAGCAATGTCCAAGTACAGAAGGTTAATTTAACTTATGAAACAATTTCAGATGGCAAATAAAATCAAGGGACTGTCCATTTCTTGTAAAAGATCCCATAAAATTGAGATTCAGTGGATGATCGATTATTGCAAACTATTACTACAATAAACAGATATCTGTGTGATAGAAAATGCTACATTGGAGAACTATCCTAACAAACCCCAGTATCAGTACAGGCTGGGGGATGAAGGGATGGAGAACAGCCCTGTGGAGAAGGAATTGAGGGTACTGGTGGGTGAAAAATTGGACGTGAGCCAGCAATGTGTGCTCGCAGCCCAGAAAGCCAACCGTATCCTGGGCTGCATCAAAAGAAACGTGGCCAGCAGGTCGAGGGAGGGGATTCTGCCCCTCTGCTCCGCTCTGGTGAGACCCCACGTGGAGTGCTGCGTCCAGCTCTGGGGTCCCCAGTGCAAGAAAGACATGGACCTGTTGGAGCAGGTCCAGAGGAGGGACACGAGGATGATTAGAGGGATGAACACCTCTGCTGTGAGGACAGGCTG